TTTTGGGACGTCTTTTGACCATACGTCAATATTCGCCTTTTTAGGGCCCCCTTAAACGTCGGTAGATGAGGTTATGGGATCCTAACTCTACCCCATACCTAAACTTAACCCTAAACCTAACCCGTCACCTAACGGACGTTAAAGGTAAAGCGTCAGTTGTATGACGGCCCGGGATCGCCATCTACCGACGTTTAAGGGGGCCCTAAAAAGGCGGATATTGACGTATGGTCAAAATACGTCCCAAAACGTCAGTTATATGACGATTTGGGATGAGACTGTGTTATTTTGACGCGTACGTTACACGTCTCATCCTGACGGCACGTGTCTTCCCGGGATTTTCACGGGTTGTGTATGAACCCAGATAGCAAACTGACATTGAATCAACGTGTAAACAACGTTTCTCATGACATCGAAACAACGTTGATCTGTCCTTGTTTTCCTCATCGAATTAACGTTGAACCAACGTCAGACACGCCATTCTTCAAAACTAACTGAAAATCGGTGTAATTGGTTTGCTTTCCTAATGTTGAAACGATGTTAATTTCAAGTTGATTTTCCGATAGTTTTGAAGAATGGCGCGTCTGACGTTGGTTCAATTTGATGAGCAAAACAATGACAGATCAACGTTGTTTCGATGTCATGTTTCCATGTTGATTCAATGTCAGTTTGCTATCAGGGAACGCACTCACAGATCCCGGCAAATCACTGGAAGTGTGAATGAACCAAAATTAAACCATCCCGGGACAAAAGCCGGGTCACATTATCCGTGTATTTTCCGGAATCTCTGTGTGAAAGGGGCTTTATAAAGACTAATCTCAGTTTTTACTTTTTGTCAGTTGTTTTTTTGTTAAAGTCAACTTTTTGCGTTGACTGTGAAATGTATATTTTTTTATCATTTAATTAGGACTTAGTAGCTCATCATTTTGAGATAATTACTTTTTATGTCATAACTATGATTTACCATATTATGGCTTGTTCATTGTGTGCCAGAAATGCACATGCATAAAATACCACACATAAAACAGTCAATGTGGCGAGCAAAGAGTGCAATTTAGCGGCATCACTCAAAATGGTGTAATTTCCCCTCGTAAAAATGCATACAAAGGATGCTATGATTCCGGTGCTTCTTGTGGGTGTTAGGGAAAGCTAATGCTTCTCCATATTCTCTAAGTGTTAAAAAATGGAAATCGAGGTGAATGGAGGAAAAGGGGCCATCATCGCAATTAACAGCTCTTTATTTTAATTAGCCTTGCATTGTCAACTAAAACACCTGAATAATGCAAATGAAGTTGCTTATTATTCCGTCAGACTTCCTTTGAAACTATTTTGTTTTCCTCTTTCCCCCTTCAGCTACATTGTCTCTGTATGAGTCACGATTATTGCTGGCGAGTTTGTTCCGCCTGATTAAGCGCTAAGCAATGGTAGGCACTTATTTACTTATTTAAAGGAAAGAAAGGTGGACAGACTGCTGAGATAAAGATACTACTGAAGCTGCTAAAGGGTGACTTGCAGCTGCTGTGGCCTACCGCAGCTCAGACCACAGAACTGTTTTGCATAATTGACTTTACATTTAAAAAAAAATAGATTCTTGCTCTATAATGGGTACAGTTACAAGAACACAGCAAACCACGAGAGCGAGAAAAAGGAGAAATCCAGCAAATGGACAGCCTCTTGTTTTATCTTCCAGTTCATGTTTTCCTAAAATGAAAGTGACCAACATCCACTAATTCTCAATCACGCACTGACTGAAGTTTTGGCTACTGGGAGAACCGAGTGGAGGCTAAACAAGCACATAGGATGGAACTCTTATGAAGGTAAAAGGTAGAATTTAAAAGACTTTGCGGATTAGTTAAATAACACTGTTTGCTATAGTTTGTGTGATTTCTCATACCAAACATTGTATAGAAATAAAATGCTATGCAAGCACACAGGAACTGGTTTAGGGCTGCATTATCCCCTCATCTTTGGATTTCTGTCATTGAAAGCAGATCACAGGGACAATGGCAATCTTAAGGTACAGTAGAGTCCAATATTCAATATATGACCGCATTCAAAGTGAATTTCAATGAAATGTAAAGTGGACAGTACTAGCCCATCACAGAATGGAATGTGACCAAATGAATGAATGATTGAATGACCTGTTTCTTCCATTAGCATGAAGTACCTACGGTGTCATTGACAGAGTACAATGAAGAATGGTTTGGAATGACATTTGTTTTGTTTTTTGTTTTTTTTTCTAAATCAATTATCTTTTTTTATATCATCATCTCTCAGTGATCCCAAACCAGCACCACCCCCCCCCCCCCCTCCACCCTGCACTCAGAGCAGTCTGTGAGTCAGCATACAACACACACTGGTCAGTCCGTTGCCATGGTGATGGTGCAAGCTGAGGGCAAAATCGCCAGCTTTTAAGAAGCGCAGACGCTGCTAGAATTTAAATGTTCAGTAGCAGCAGGAAAGGCTGCATGTGTGTGTGTGTTTTTTTTCTTTTTTTTTTTTTTTTCTTAGCCCAGATTAGCTGCCGGCATACAAGGAGCCAATCGAATTGTACAAAAAAAGGTAACAAGACCTCTGACAACCATCCCTTGATCCTATTCCTTGAATCTTAAGACAGAGACCTAAAAAAGAGGCTTTGATTGACAGGACCTGTACAAAACACCTCACTTTCCTCAAGGGTCATTCGGATACGCCAAGTCTGCACTGCTCAAATCCTCTTGGAACATGATTTTGTTCCTCTAATGTGTAGTAGGAATGAGAAAAACAAGAAACACACTGAAATACACACAAAAAAAGCATTTGTAAAGCTAAATGACTACGTGTTTGGCTCAAAGGAGTGATGTTGTAAATGTGTCATTTTAACTGTGTTAGGATATGGATCACTCAAAATTGACATTTTGGCATTTTATAAAAACTGTAAGACTTAACTTTCTGAGAAATAAAGCAAAATCAAGCAATTTGTCTGGATATCAGCTTAAAATAAAAGCTGTGGTAATGCAACCACATCGACCTGTGCTCACTGGTACTGTGAGAATTTAGACATAAAGAAGAATTTAGAGAAAGTAGACATTTTATGGTGTCAGATAATAAAGGAAAAGTGAATGTTTACTGCTAAAATGTGATGCATAGAAAGGGAAATGTCATAAATGAATATGAAAAATGGAAATTAAATACTGTACCTTAAGAATTAATGTCCCCTGGTGAGTCATTTAAATGCACTGATTCTGGTTTAACATTAAATCCACAAAACTTTTATTAAAAGTCAACTTCTTGTAAAAAATACAAAATACAAATTGCAAATCAACAGAAACAAAAGAACACATGACAGAAATTAACAGAAGTGGGGATGTCTGCAGCTTTAAACAGTTCCACAGATGACACACGCTAAACACAGAATGCAAAGTGTTGTGTCACATTCAACTTGCATGAACCCATATTGATATGCATGAACAAATAATATCATGTGCTGTGTTTTATAAACGTGCCGCTCCTGCAGGACATCATTTTAACATTGCATCTTTCCACACAAGTGATTATTGCTTTAAATATGAACACGCGTTTCACTTTGAACATCAAATGTACAAAAATTAAAAGATGGAGCCACTATCAAAGCAGCTGATATCTATTATCTAGGTGGTTCTAAACTGTATACTTACAAATTTGGTATCAAAATAATGTTTGGTGTGGTCTGTCAATAATTAATTAAGTACATTTGTTCTGTATAAAGCTATTTAAGTTGTTCATTTCCATTCCACAAAACAAACATAATAAGGGATGAACACAAGCACACACACGCACACACACACGCACACACACACACACACACACACACACACTAGGTTGTTATTAATATTCACAATATACAACAAGAAAACTTCCAATGATTGTCTCCAAAGGTTTGCCAATAAAATCCCCCAAAAAACTATAATAATTTTTGGTTTTCTTGTTCACCATAGAAAAGTGAACTAGTTTAAATGTCAAGTAGCTTTAAATTTACAATGAATTATTCACAGCCTGGCTGAAAATCCCGCAGTTAATTCAAAAATGCTTGATGGCACACTTTGACATCAGTAGCTGATAATGTATCTGCATTAAGCCATTTCATTTATGAACATAGCAAAAAGAAAGCACTTTTTGCGTGCACAATCAATGAAGCTTAAAGAAGGTGGGAATCACCAGTCATTAATCAGTATTAATGATCAACTTGTAATCAGCTGACTAACAGAGTCCAAATATTTAAAGACATTTTTAAAGGTCTGTCAAAATGTGCCAAGCAAATGTTCAAATACGTTCAGCATTGACAGGCCTTCCTGTCTATTTTATTCTATATGTTTTAGGCAAAAATTCAACGTGAAAGTTTTGCTTTTTAGAATAATTTTGTCACATTAACAAGTGTGCAAATACCTGAAGCTAGCCTAAAAAATATATTAAAACAATGACGGCTATTATTTGTTGTCCTTCAGGGCAAAACAAAAAACAAAAGAATAAAAGGAAATATAACAAAATAAGGCACATCTCTCTGGTCTATTACACCACTAATGTGTTTCAAATGTTATTAGAAGTAGTTATGTTCATCTGTTGAGGGGCAGCAATAAACACTATCCAAATCAAAATGGCTCTCTAAGAAAATAAAAATGTGCGGTATTGTTTCCTTCATTTAAATGATTAATAATTAAATTAAATCATATGTTTCCTTCAGGGCATGAATTATACTACAGAACTGCAAAAAAAACAAACAAAAATAGATTGACAAATAAAACAAATTTCTTTCAATCAAGTGATGAACATGCTTTGTGATCAGTGCAGCTTTGGTTTGACATTCAATCAGTTCCAGCCTAATACATGCCCTTAGTCCACACCATGTTGCTGTGATACCCATTGCTTTGATACCCTGGGCTGAGGTACTCTGGGCTGTGGTACCCTCTTTGGTACTCTGGGCTGTAGTACCCTCTGTGGTACTCTGGACTGTGGTACCCTGCCATGCTTTCGAAGTCGTCTCCTACCTGTTTGGTGCTGTATTTTGAAGAGTTGGCCTTGTAGCTGTAATCCGAATACTGGTCTGAGCCTGTTGAGTTGTTGTCCCCGGTTCCTACAAAGGTGTTGGTGGCCGGCAGGTCCTGCACTGCCTGGTGTTTCTTTGAGGCAGAAGGTGACTGAGGTTGGAGCTGAATGGATGGCAGAGGAGAATTGGACCGATAGTGTCGCCCCAGGTCTGGGCTCCCAGGGGGATAGTTGAGCGGCAGGTGAATCCTAGGGCTATCGTTGACGGTCTCATCCATGAGGTTGAACTTTAGGCCTTTCTGAAGACTTCCCCCCTCGTCCTCTTCAGACGGGTTGGCAGGCTTTGGAGCTTTGCTTTTCTTTGCCTTCTTGTTCTTGTTACTCTTAGGTCCTGGTTTGGGAGCATAGAGGTCTTTGGTCTCCTTCTTGCCTGCTTGGTAGCCGCTTTTATTCTCCTTCACCACATGCCTGATGATCACTGCCACCACAAAGATCAGAATGACCACAAAAAGGCCGCCCAAGACTCCAAAGAGAATGTTACTTTGCTGGTCATGAGAATAATCTGGATCTCCTGCAATGTCCATTTCAAGTGGCGTATAAAGACTGTGTCCAACAAGTCCTTCGACATGCGAAACATTGCCGATGGTCTCATTGACATAGATGTGAACCAGTGCAGTCGTCTGGCGAGGCGGTGTCCCTCTGTCCTTAACTTTTACTACCAAACGGTGGAGACCAATGTGCTTGGATGTGAACCCTTTAGCCAACGTAACCTCACCTTCCGAAGAGATGCGGAACAAGCCATGAGGGTTACCCCCCACAATACTGAAGTCCATCTCAGAATTTAAGCCAATATCAAAGTCCTCCGCCTCAACGCGTTCTACATGGGTTTCTGGGCTGGTGTGGGGATCTAAGAACTTGTATGAGGAGTTTGAGGGCTTGGTGACATAAGGAGCATTGTCATTCTCATCAAGGACATTAATAGTAATGCCAACGTAGGAGGAACGTGGTGGATCACCTCCATCAACAGCTTTAAGTCGGAAACTGTAGGTACTCTCCTTTTCCCTGTCAAAGGAAATAGTCGAAAGGATGGTGTACGTTCCATTTTGAATCATAAACTTGCCATTGTCTGGTTCTACAAAGAGTTGAACACGAGCATTGTCACCCTCATCGTGATCGGTGACTGTTACCATTCCAACAGGACTAAGGGGTGGCATGTTCTCTTGGACTGAGAAGCTGTAACCATTGAGCATAAATTTGGGGTCATTGTCGTTTCTGTCGAGCACCTTAACAACAACAGTGGCAGTTCCTCTCAAGCTTGGTACGCCTTTATCAGCTGCTGCAACTAGAAACTGATAGTGATCTAATTGTTCACGGTCCAACTGGCTCATGACACGTACTTCTCCTGTGTTAGGGTTAATTTCAAACAGTCCCTCAGGGACTGATCCACCAGTTATACTGTATGTCAGCTCAGCATTAGTCCCGCTGTCAGCATCCATGGCTAACACATCCAGAACCTTGTCACCTGGCTGGTTCTCCTCAGCAAATTCCACCTGGTACAAGGAGGGTGAGAAGACCGGGGAGTTGTCATTCATGTCTGTCACTTGCACCCTCAGGGAATTTGTGCTGGAAAGTGCAGGATTGCCAGAGTCCACTGCCACAATTTCAATCCTGTAGTCTTTGACCCGTTCAAAGTCCAGTAGCGTGGTTGTCTGGAGGAAGTACTTCCTCTTGCGGTCATTACCAATTTCGCTAGCTGAACGCAGCTGAAATGGGACGTCCCCTGCAACCACACAGGTCACAACTGCATTTTCACCCTCATCATGATCTGATACTTCCACCAGAGCCACAGCTGTGCCCACAGGCATGTCCTCCGAAATGTTAGCAACACCATCTTCATGCGTCACAAGACCAATGCCCCGGATCCTGATTAAGGGTGCATTGTCATTCTGGTCCTTCACTGTGATAGTCACAAGGGATTTGGAGCTCTTTGATTGGGGACCATTGTCTTTAGCTTGGACATAGAACTTGAGCATGCTGATATCTTCACGATCCACCAAGCCTTTGACAAAAATGGTACCTGTGTTGCGGTCAATGCTAAGAAGTCTTTGGACTGCTGGTGGTGCCTGATGAAGGCTGTAGGTCACCTCTCCATTGGGCCCCATGTCAGAGTCATTGGCTTTCACCTACATCAACAAAACACAAAATGAAACTAAGCAAAGCACTGAAACATCAGTTTACAAAAAAGATTACATAATCACAGGTTTCCACATCAAAGTCAATACATGGGTTAAAATGCGTAGTCAGAAATATCAGAACTAGATGTAGCTCATTGTACGCTGCAAAAAAAATAAGCATGGAAAAACTATTATTACTAGGGGGGAAAAAAGACCCAGAAGCTCATCCGAAGACACAGGACTAATTTAGTCTAATTAATAAATATACTGAATATTCTAGGAATTTAATATCAAGCACACCTCAATTGATTTTGGAAATCAGTTTGTGCTTTCACTAATTAGTGATAAAATTATGCATAACAATTTATTATTATTCAATATTCAATATATAAGAACAGAAATCTATTTACTCAGTGGGATTAATCAGTGGGATTAATCATGATTAGACGGAGTCAAATTATCCAAATTACCTGTAGTTTGAGACATCACTTAAGTTAAGTTACAGGTTTCTACTGTACAAATCCTTCAGGTCTATTGTGAATTTGGGAATAATTTTTACAACTATGAATCAAAGTGTGGCTTGGTTAAAACTTTCAAATAATCAAGATTTTCTTGTTCCTCTCCTCTTTTTGTCCTTGGGTGTGTATGAAACATGCATGGAGTTTCAGCCCATGTATTACAGAGAACAGCCTTAATCTGAGTCAGTCATAAGATCATTCATGGTGCTTAAGTTATTATTGCTCCATTTGAGTCACTCCATTTCATCCGCCATGAAAACTGGGAATTCATTTTATTTAATGTATTTGAAGAGCATTTCTCTGAACAAGCTAAAACACTCCATCAACACTTACAACCCTCTGAAATCATAAAAAATAAGCTGTTTTAATACCACTACTGCTTATTTACTTTGGCTTCAAAGGATGCTTATGAGGACTTAGAGGAAAATAAAGTCTTCTGACATGCTTTTTGAATACAACTTGGTTCCATGGATTAATTATTGACAGAGATTAACAGTCATTAAAATTTTTGTTTTGCGTGGACACTTGCCTCAGATTGATCTTGGAAAGCGTCCAGCATTCACGGCTATCCTGATCTTAGTAGCACATCCGTTTCCACAACAGTTCTAAATGTAATTCTCACCGCCAGTCAATAGTCTCTTCTGTTTTGTAAAGCTTGTGTTTAAAGGGACCATGAGGGATCAATCGATTGCCCGTGAAAATATGATTTGGCTTTCCCATTTCTTCCGCTTTAACCCTGTTGTGTGGGAACCGAGGCTAAAGCCTATTGGGATAACTGAGACTTCCATTTACAAGCGCTTGTCAGGCTCTGTATGTTGGGCTTGAGTGCACTTCTATCTCCAGGCTGTCAAATCAGCTCCTATATTACTTACTGCCCAATCTTAAGGTTTAGCACTTGCTTCATTGCAAAATTTACATCATGACCTTATAAAAAAGGAAAATAATAATAATAAATAAATGTATTTAAGGTATTTACATTTTGCTATTATTTGTGTTCTGAGAGAATCGACCCCCTTGCTGGCATCGTGCTATTCTGTTTGTCTAGTTTTCGATTGAAAGTTTAGTTATATATATATATTTATAAAGATGACTTACTTGTAGAACAGAGTGACCCACTGGGCTGTTTTCTGGCAGCTCACCCTCGTAGTGTGTCTTCTCAAATTTGGGCACATTGTCATTGGCATCTGTAATGGTGATCCTGAGCAGGGCACTACTCTGGCGAGGTGGAGAGCCGCCGTCAATCACTTTTATGTTGAGGTCATATGAATCTCGCTGCTCTCTATCCAGGTTACCCAATACTATGAGCTGTGGCAATTTCTCATCTGAGTCTTGCGCCACCTGCAGGCTGAAAAGGTTGGCAGCTTCAGGGCCAGTCGTTAGCGCGTAATCTGCGATGCCGTTGCTTCCAGAATCCTTGTCGGTGGCCACAGGAATTGGGAATAGCACACCCACATGAGTGTTCTCTGGGATCGACAACGTCAAGACAGGTGAAGAGAACTGTGGAGTGTTGTCGTTCTCGTCCAATATCTCTATGCGGCCTTCGATGAGCCGAGGTCCTGTGCCTTTCATCAGATCTGTTATAGACACCTCAAATTCTAGGAAACAAGGATCACCCTCGAAAAGGTTGCGACAGTCCTTGAGAGTCTCACGATCGATCGGGGTCTCCGTGGTGTAGATATCCCCTGTTTTGCCATCCACACGGAGGTAAGGAGCGCCCACTTCAAGCTTGTAAAGGTGACCTGTGTCTGGCAGGCCCTGGTCAGATGCCAAGCTGCCAATCAGGGTGTTGGGCGGCTGCTCCTCGGTCACCTGGTAGATGATGGTGTTGACTACATTTGCAGAGCAACAGAGGAGAAGCAAAATCCACACTAGCATGGCACTCCACCGTGACCACATCGCATTGGCACTCTGGCACATCGTCAGTCTGTTGCTGCAAAAAGATCAAGCAAACAAACAAATAAGGTTAAAGAAATATTCATTCTTCAGATACAATCCTTTAAAGTATCTGACAGTGCCAAGAACCCTGTAAAGCATTGGCAGCCAGAGTTGTATGGTTCTGATTCCCTGGGATTTATGATTGATCGTCCCTTCATGTGTTGTAAACCTCTCCATTTTAGAGGCAGTAAATATGTCACAAACAGTTACTTGTGTTTGACCTTGATTCTGCAAGCTTTGTGTCATGTTTCATTCGTAAAGACAACATATGTCCATATTCCTAAGAGATGTACCCTAAGAGAGGAGGAAGCTAGCAGGCAAGTGATGTCCATTCAAATAATAATTTCTACACTACTTGATCTACCTTTCCCAAGCTATTGATAAACTGTCTCAGCTCTAATTTCTAGAATCAAGCCTAGGGGACAACGCAAGGGTGAAATCCATCAGAATCAACCTACAAGATTTTTCCCCATCTCTCCAAGCCCAACATATTTTTTAGCCAAAACCAAAAATGATTTATATGTCTAATGTCTTCAGTTAAAATACCATTTTAAGCTTATAGAAATAAATCTGTTCTTAATTGTATTAATGACTAGTTATTATATTTACCTTTTTTATTTTCTCTCTTTTATTCTGTATTATTATTTTATTCTCACCAATTTATTCTACAATTAAATCATTTCCAAAACACAGTGATAAAATGGAGGGCAAAACAACAAAGTAGAAATTAGATGCAAAGAACCAAGATTTGAAAATGATTCTTTGGTTTCACCCATTAATTCATTTAATAATTAATTTCTGAGTGTTCACTGCCCACTTCCTTCACAAATGATATGTCACTCTTTTTCTCATCAACATTTTCTTTTTCTAGATCTTCTTCTTACATACAAATGTTTTACGCCACAAATAAACAGGGCATGTAAAGAGTCAGTATAGTAGCCAGACAAAGAAGGATTACCATCGTTTTTTTTTTGTTTTTTTTTAATGGGCAAAAGAAACTAAAATACTTCTGAAGAAAAATTCACATGTGAATGTTCCCTTTCCTGTCTGAGTCTTTAAGTTCTTGAATACATGGTAGAAGAGTGTGGTTTTCTAATCTTCCAATGGCCACTTCACAGCAAATGGCTCCCAAATTGTGGCAACATCACACACCCATGAGGATGTATTAGACAGGGTTATAGAAGGCATATTGACAATGGCCCCCTCCTGCCACCTTACCAAACATTAACAACTTCAGTATGAGCAACTACAAAAGATTATAAAAAAAATCTAATAAATAAATCAGATTCTGTTAATACATCACGTTTAAGGTCATGTTAGTTTGATGTTTCCTGCTGTGGTAATTGCAGACCCCTCCAACATATGGGGAATGTTATCCCATGGCTCACACTCCCCATGGCTAATGAGGCAGGGCTGCTAAATTACTGTCCAGAGGAGACAGACACCTCAACTCGACCCAGCGGTGAACCAATGGGGGATGTGAGAGAGCTGCCACCAGTTCTATATACAGTAAATTCTGCCTGTGAATACCATCAAAATCAAAAGTCTTTCTATGAGGTTTGTTAAAAAAAAAAAAAAAAAAAAACAGGTAGGTGAAAAAAAAAAAAAAAAAACACAAATATAAAAAGAAAAATGACTGTCAGCCAAATGGACTGTCATTTGTAACTAATAGGAAGTGGGTTCTTCCATACTCTCATCAGTATTGATTGGTTATAGTAGTTTAGTGCATGTTTCATTCAATATTTTTCCATTAGCAAAAAAAAAAAAAAAACATGACATAGTGAGCCTCTCACAAACGCATTACAAAGAAAAATCATGTGGTTAGAGCATCAAAACATGGCTAATGTAACTGCATCAGACACTGTGCACCTCACACACTCCCTAGTACATGGGAAATGCAGATTTAAAATGCACAAATCTCGACACCAACAAATACAAAAATACTTGCACAACTGCAACCACAAGGCAATGACACTGCAGCGAGCACAATGCACTAATGAGGCTGAAATGAAGGGTGGGATGTGTGACCCTGTTCACACATATGATGAGATCGTGACTCGTTTCTCTCTAATTTCACAGTCTAAATTTGAATCTGTCGAGACAGACGACTCTGACACACTTTGATGTGGCTAATTAAACAGTGTGGACCACAAAAGGGCCTGGAGAGGTGAAAAATGCCTCACCTTTAAAGCAAAGTATCCCCTATTGTGGTTTTGAACAACCATCTTATGGAGTTGGCATTTCACAGAGATGCGTCAGAGCCTTCGCCGAAGGTGTGTGTTGAATTCTGTACCGTGTGTTGATGTAAAAAGGTCAACGGGAAAAAGCAGGGCAGGGACCTCTGAACCACTGGGATTAACCGCGCTGTTTTTTTTTACATAAAACAAAAAGAACAAGATCTATATATAAAACAAACCAAAACATTCCATCTTCATCATGTACTGGAAAAGTTAACAAAGTTCAAAAACCTTCTGGAAAAATGAAAAGCGTGTGAATCTGTTTGTTGCGATTAAGGGTTTGAGAAGCTCTCACGACATACGCTCTCAAGGGCCCAGAGCACAGAGTCTGTATCAAAGGGTCACCACACTGCGAAACCTAATGTGGGCTGTATACATCCTTTCCCACACTCGCCTGTGAATGTGAACGCATGTGCGCACATATATATGTCTGTGGGTGTGTAAAAAACTTACACACAAGATCTAAAAACAAACACAGCAAAGGAATGTCAGTGTGTGTCTGCGAGCAAATGGAACATCTTAGCGGAAAACATGAAGGTCATGAAAAAAAGAAAAACTACTGAACGCGTTTGAGTATATAAAATATAAAGGTGGCTAAAGCTTAGGCTTTTGTCAAAAAAACTCTCCTTTGTAATGGAAATGCATAAGTGCATATGAGTGGTGTGCCTTAACTACAGCAATATTTACAAGACACAGGAGGCCTTAACAGAGTCAAATCAAGCACGGCTACCTAGTAGACAGCTTTCCTTTCAATTGCAGAGAGTTAGCACTTCACATTCACACAGGTACACAATAAGCCTAGCCATTACAATGACAATGGGTCGTCAATGGGGCTTTCCTTCACCTCAGAGTTTTGATCGTCATCCTACATGGTCAGAGAGCAGATTTATGACAGACCTTAAATCAACATGCGGCGTCCACCTCTCTAATAACGTCTTCAAATATGGCATTGTCGAGCGGTGGCTAAGATCTCCTCACAGGGAGACAGGCGTCGCCAGAGTGCGGTATTTATGACTACTGTCATAATCCTGTGAGAATTTATTCTCGGCTCTCAGGCTGTGCAGCCTGATTCATATTGTACTGCTGTGTATAAGCTGGATGTCATTAATATAATCAATAGCTGTGAGCACAGGGGAAGGCGTGAATCGGAGTTCCCTTATGGAGCCTCGCCATCGGCTCTTTGCGCATTATTCACAGTACATTTGGTCAAAATCTTTGCCTCAGCCTTCAGGGGAAGATGGTTCCTCACTCATTTCCTGTCCGCAAAAAAAAAACACATTATGTTCATTTCACAACTGCTTTCTGTTAACAACATCACATACATCTCCCTGTTTTCCTCTTTCATGTGCACACCATCGTTTTATGCCTTTCCGTGCCCTCTCAGAGATGCGCTCATATACTGTCGAGAAGGCCATTGTGTTGTAGCGCAGGGGGAGGTTAACAGATTTAACGGGCTAATTACTATTCTAAAGCCTCCCCCGCTGACATGCTTTAAAATTGCTGTATGATTTTCTCTCTCACAGTCTCGCTCTCCTTCTTTTCCTCTTTAGAGAATTGTAACGAGGAATTCATCATTGTACCAATGCTCACCCTTCCTCTGCCAGCAAAAAAAAAAAAAAAAAAAAAAAAAAAACCTCATGGGAATATGAGGATGGTATACCTCTGCCAAGACACTCCTCAGGTGGCATTCAACTCAGCATGAAACTGCAAGGTGATTCTAGTGAAAATAAGCAATAAAAGCATTTACGTAACCGCCGTAGCAGGAGTCAGATTCCCGATTGAGGCACTGCGTCATGGCAACACAGTCAAAGACATTAGTCAATGATTGTTCTAACCCCTCCCCATCCCAGTTTCTATGTGATAATTAAAGAATTAAATTAAAGCGCTGACATTTATGAGGGTTCAGGAGTCAGCTCTTGTCTGAAGCCAGGAGAATGATTGACTCAGAAGGAAGTAGGAGAGCAGCATCTGTCTCAGGTTAATGGTTAACTCAACCGGCTCAATTGACATTTTAGTACACATCTGAAGTGTCTTTCAAAAAATATAGCAAGAGAAGCTGAATAATTATTTGCTTACAGTTAGGTGAGGTAAGCCGATAGACTCACCTCATAATGACCAAGGATATAGTGAGCTTCTTCGAATAATTCTCATGGAGATCATTTCAGTGAAACCACCAGAAACCACACAAATGAGCTAAAATAAATAGTAGCAGGCGACAAACGCTAACCAACCACATCCTAAATACTGAGTGCTTTGTGATTCAAGACTTTGATGCCAGCACCCACAGCCACGGAGTTGAGTTCACGTGAGCTTTTGTCCTCGGCTGCAGCCATCCAAGCTCTACAGGCCACCAGCTCCATGGGGCTCAGTGACCCGTTCAGGATGGGTGGTCCCAGGCCCCCTCCTTAGCCAAGTGCGGAGGATTACTTTAATTATTTCATTCAGCCATTGTGGGGCCAGATTAGTCTGCGCCCGCTTTCAGACGAGATGAACTGCTGCCCCGCTGCTGTCTACCAGTCTGTTACACAGAGAGAGCTGGCCAGTCACAAGGCTGGCACACAAACTCTCACACACCATTACACACAGCTAACACACACACACACTGATAGCATAGACAAAGACTGGAGGACTGCTACTGTTATGATTACACTTGTTTGTAATAAAAGGTTGTAATAAAATCAATAAAATAGGCATTACATTTTTACTTGATGTATGGATGTTTGTTTTGTAGCTCTGTAAAAATGGAAATATAATGATGGGAAGTAAAGCTTGAAAATGGGCCTTATCTTGTTATTTAGTTGTTTTGACCAACATACATTTATTTCTATACTATTAACATAATATTAACTATATATTATACTATTATAATACTATTAACATACTATTATTTTCTATATGTTGAAGCAACGGAACTGAAATTGTATTATGTAACTTACCCATGAACATGAAATGCTGAAATGCCTCAACTAAAGTTGGTTTAGACAGTGTGTGTGTGTGTGTGTGTGCCAGCGGTCCCCATGAGAAAAAAAACAGCGTATAAATCATACTAAGTAATGTTTTTTTGAAAATGTAAAAATGCAGAATGTTTCCTGTGATGGGTAGGTTTAGGGATAGGGGCAGGGTAAGGGGATACAATATACAGTTTGTACAGTATAAAAACCATTACGCCTATGGAGAGTCCCCACAAAGATGTGTGCGCCTGTGTGAGTGTGTGTGTGTGTGTGTGTGTGTGAGAGAGAGAGAGAGAGAGGAGGGGGGGGGGGGGGTGGCTAATTAAACTTGTACCTCATGGCATGGACATGTTGGCTTTTTCACAATTAAATGAAGCTTTCAAATCTGTGTAATTTCTAATAAGACCAAAACATTTACACCAGGATACGTAGAATAAAGTGAACACATTATAACCTCAAAGAAAACATCCATATGTCTTAGTCTAATTGCTTACACGTAGAAATTCACTCGAACGGTTTTCAAACATCCTGTGGTTATTATGAAGCTTCTCCTTTTCTCCAATTTTTTTTTTTTTTTTTTTTTTTTTTGCTAGAGTCAGTATGCTGACGCCCATCAAGATAAGGACACTAATGACGCGACTCGTTGTTTTACGATCAACTGCACGACATGCAAATCTTCCGGTGTCTTGCAATTTTATTTTCTTAAAATAAGACAAATTCTATAAAAGATATAGCCTACAAGGCGCAATTTGTTGAGGTTGAGAAAGTACATAGCTCATGTCCAAACCAACGTCAACAAAAGGGTTAAGCCACTAAAGTTGAATCTTACGGAAACCAACGTCCATGTAAAACATGTACTAGCCTACTCCCAAAGCAAGTCAGAACCCAAGTTTGGTGGTCTTAATACACGTCTTTATAAGGGGGTCAACGCCCCCATCCTATTTAAATCGCATTCACCACCGCCGGGGTGAGTGACGAATAGCCTTGCTATAGCCTAGTTTCGGCAGGCTATATTAAAGACATGGATGTGGGGAAATAAAAGAACCTGCTTATAAGATCCACAGATCAATAATATACTAGAACAACACGAGCTCTTCCAAGTGCCGGTGTGGTGTGTGTGTATGTGTGTGTGTGTGTGTGTGCGTATTTGTGTGTGCTTGTGCTGATGCCTACAGAACACGACCTCGATGAGAGAGGAATGGAAATGACTTTTACCTTCGGGTGAATGCGCTCCGAGTTAGATCATTTGCCAGCAGTTGTGGGCTTCTGTAGCCTACAAATTTACGTCCGCCTGAACGGTTTTGCCTACAGATGAACCGCAGAAAGATTGGAGATGTCCGATCACAGATGGGCGGAATGAAGCCCAAGGCAAACAGTGTTTTCACACCTGTCTCTCCCAGTCGAACCGGACGAACAGGTTTAAAAGTAACACACGACGGGAGCGGCTAGAAAGACCGGATTCCGTTCTTATGACAGGCGATCTGTTTCGATTGTTTTGTCACCATTACGGGTAGCAAGGAAGGAAATTAGTGCGTCTCGTGAAATGTTGACTAGTTGACATTCTGTGGGTTAGAATTAACAACAACATTTTTCAAACATCACGCTGATGCGATAAAAAGAGTTCCGAGAGAAATGCGCAAAAACGAGTGCAACAGGTGTTGCGGGAGCTAGGAATAGACTAACCAAATAAGATAGTAGCATAAAGTTTTTACCAATAATAGTTCACAAAAATATAAAAACTAAATAGAAAGTATTGAACAAGTTTATACGCAAGTAAGCGCAGAATGAGGGTTTGCTGTCAGAGATTTTCTTTTTCTTTTTCATGGACTACTATAGGCTACACGGACGTTCGCGAGAGCAAAAGAACGAGTTGAATATAGTAGGCTACACTATGAGAGCGAGGAATCGATTGAAACCTAAGTGAAGACCCACTGGCCGGAACTTGAGCTAGATAATATATAGCCTATATATATATATATATATATATATATCAATTCATTGGTCAAGGGTTAGTTTTCTATAGCCTATGTGAAAATGTAATAGGCTTGAAAGCGAGATTGGCGATCCACTGGAGCGCTCGGTAGAAAAATCTTTTCTTGTAAAAAAAATCAATAGCAGTAGTGTAGGGAAAACATGTCACATAAGCGCTAATCAGCTCTAAGGACAACCGCGGTCGATGTTAATTTGAGCTATCAATAAATTCGAGATATTTAGTCGGAGGCGTGCAGCACTTATTTGCTCAGCATTCAATGTAAAGATAAATTAAATCACGCAACCATGTGATAGTAGCCTATGCTGAGTGGTATTTCTGCCTCAATTCCAGTTTATGCACACACACACACACACACACATAGACTAACCTTTTATGAAGAAAAGTATCTACATATGATTCTGTTAGCCTACCAAATTTTATGTAAAGAATCAAAGGAGAGCACATACATTGGCAGTAGAGAAACTGTGGAAATGCGTCAATATTATTAGAAAAAATAAATCTCATATACCTTGACGGATAGTTACTCCTCACTATTAGTTAGTCTTGGCTGATAGAGTCGGACCGAAAGCCGTGTTCCCTTTCCACACCACAAATGAAGTGCCTTGGAAATCCAAATTCAGCACCACCGCAATCCTGTCGATACAAAAACAGCGCCCTGTCCGCTGACAGCTCTTTTGTTTTCTTTTTTCTTTAAAATTCCTCTTTTTTTAACACGGATGCTTCAGTAAAATTGAATCGGAAAAAAGTGTCACGTCAGAAAATAAGAGCGCGTAACTTGGCTGATGGTGGTTACGCACATCAGAGAGAAGTGTCCTCTCCTTGCGCACGAAAGGAAAACCCCGAACCAGCGCTACTCCGGACCGGGTTCACAGCATCCCGAAACGTCCAATTCCACACGACAGCATCCTCCAAAACTTCAGCCTTCAGTCAACAACTGTCTGTGCATACAAGTGAAAAGAGAAAAAAAAATCTTCCACTGCTATGTCCGGTAGTGTCCAGTCCGCGTTCTCTCATCATCAGTTCACCATTCAGTGTTACTGAGGACGTCGGGGCTCGCGCTCTTGCCGCAGCTCACCGCGCGCGTCTATTCTGTGGATAGCCTATGTGAGAGTGAAGTGATTTCCGACCGATTGCGCTCTCGCTCTCCCCTGTCTCGCTCGCTCGCTCGCCGAGTCCCTCATACAAGAACATCATTTTGAATCGTCGAGGGCGGAGCTTTGTGAGACGTGCTTGTGTGGACTCCACAACAAAACCTCATTCGTATTTACCCAGACATTACCAAGTCCCAGTGTTGCCATGTCCGCTTATTGTAAGCGACAAGGCTTTCTTTGTAATAAAATGCTAATAAATATGAGTAGTCGCAAGTTGTGTTCTGAGGTCTCCATGTGTTTTGACTAAACTAGTTAGCCTACTAATCGCAGCTGTCATTTACAGTTTTAGTCTTGCTCTAGCTTCATAATTCCAACATCCAAATATGCATACTTAGCTACTTTATGCAGATGAACAGCCTATGATGTCCAAAAACACTGAATGCTATTCTTGAATAGATTAAGCCCATAGGCTAATATCCAAATATCCGATGGTGTTACGTGTTAGTGCTACCAAGTAGCCCACACAAAGAGCATACGGGTCAAAGGAAAATGGAAACATGGTCTTTCTATTTACACAGACACAGAATGTGATTCACCAACAATCAAGACGTCCCCGACCATTGGTGAATATACTAATGTAGCCTATTGCGATTTATCAATTGTATGCAATATATGGATTTAATTTTTGAACCTCCTCACCTCTCATTTTAGGGAGTAAAGTCAATCTGGGCTTGCTGTTTCTCTTTTGTGATCTGGCAACACTGCAAAAAGGGATATCTCCAATTCTTTGCAGGCAGAACAACTTTGGAATGTGTCTCACCCCACGGAAAAGGTTATGAGACACATTCTCGTCCCCTTTTTAACACGCTGCGCGCGCGCATCCCTGAGTAGATTCGATTCTTACACCCCTTACCTAGAATACTACATGTTTATGACCAGTTTATGACGACAAACTTTTAAAATATATTCCCAATTAAGCATGCAATTAGACGTGTTGTCCATCTACAATTGAGGTTCTCTGTCGTCTCAAACTCAAACCAAAATTCCCAATAGTCGCGCATGAGAGTTGCGATTGCAGGGACGATTGAGTCATTGCTTCCTCGAAATGTTTCGACTCGGCGCGAGTATCAATCACTCTCGACTTTGTTTAAAGGGATCAGCTGCGTCAACACACCATGTGAAATGATATTGTGTAGTTTATCACGCTGTCATGATGGCACTAAGTAGGAGGGAGAGGGGTAAATTCTCAGATCCATAAACGCCACTGTACAGGAGAGCAAGAGGAAATGTTCATTGTGCTCTTAGCGGCATCTAGAGGTCACAAGAGGAATAATTATTACACACCAACTGTGAACCAGACCTACACGGTACGTCGTTGATGATATACCCTGAACTGCGTGTGCTGCTTATCATTGTACTTTTTTGGGGGGGGTTTACAGACAGCTAAGCAATTTCACCATCTGCTTACATCATCGATGTAGGTTTCTAGTTACACAGGCTCTAAAATGCAGAACTAAGTGGTTTAACATAGTTTATGAGGGGGGCAATGAACACTTTTATATTCACTATCTTTTTTTAAATAATGCCAATCAAAAACATTTAACATTTTACTTTAAGTAGTTTACAGATATAGTATAAATGGCTTAATTTAAATGTGTTATGCTAGCAAAATGATGCCATCCATGTCACTGAGCTCTTTTTTAATTGGTTGCACAAAGACACAGGGTCACAACCCTTCCTGGTCTCATGATGTAAAATTAATATCTTAAATTGTTTATTAAAGGCACACTGTCAGATTTGTGCCCCATTACATGATGCAAAATAGCTTATACTGAGTCACAGTATAACTCAACAGTATATATTGCATAGGGAGCTTTTCAGTATCTAACTGTAAGTTAAAAAGAGACGAGTTAAACAAGTTTAAGCCAGTCCTATAGGCTATTTACAACAGGAAGGATAACGATAAAAATATAGTTCTAAAAATCATTCAAAATATAAAATAATAGAGTCTACACTACACATACAGTAACAATAACGGCACAGAGAAACAATGTCGCTTTAATCACTTTCAGAAAGATTTATTTATTTTTTTTCCAGCTGATAAAACCCAATTTTAGCACTGGCCCATGAGATAAGAACTCCGTCAGCTTATCATAGAACAAACAACCAATAGACTCGATCCCCCTGATACACCACTGTTATTAACTACAACAAGAGCATGAATAATTCAACATGTTAATCTTTCTCTCAACACACCCTCCCACACACATTAACATTTTATTTGCAAACACACGTGAATGGATGGACACAGGAAGACTCATCTTATGATAATGTAACTCTATGTTGCCCCACAAGTTGGTATCACAGAAGTGGACACTTCACTTTTGTGTGTACTGTTGCGAGCCAGCTGAGAGGGGTGGCCGTATGTCACAACTATAATTATGTGTGCTAGAAAGATCTTACTCAAGGCGAATTGTGTCTGGTGCCACTAATGGCACTGAAATTACACACTTCACCTTTGGTAAGGTCTTTCAAGCAAACATGACACAAAAATAATGAATGTTTCTAAACACATTTCAAACACTCCGCCCGTCTTTCATGTAGACAATGCAAATATCCACACCCGTTGTTGGGTCACTCAAATTAACAGATTATTGAGAGGACAATGGGATGCATTCAGGAATATTCACAGTTGTGCACATGTCTGATTCAAACTTGTGGGATATGATTTAAAGTCTGCTGAAATAAAATCTATGCTAAACTGCCACGTCAGGTTTGAGTCAACAAAGACACATATTATTTTTTTGTTTCTGTATATTGCATTTGTAGTTCATCAATAGCTCATTATACGTGTCATTTCTCTGTTATTGTAACTTGCGGCAAGTAATTCATCATTCAGTCATTCTTGTTATCGCACATTGGTAACCTTTACAACAATTATAAGATATATATATATATATATATATATATATATATATATATATATATATATATATATATATATATATATATATATGAAGAGTTCAGATGCAAAAGCCTCTAAGTACCATTTGAAATTTTCTTCTAGAATGATCATTTTTATCAAGCTTGTATATTTAAGTTCAGTGATTTCACTTAAATGGCAATGATAATTACCTATTAATTGTTATTTAAGTGAAATCACTGAACTTAAATATACAAGTTTGATAAAAAATCATCATTAAAGAAGAAAATTTCAAATGGCATTTAGAGGCTTTTGCATCTGAACTCTTCATATATATGGACAAACCCGAAATGTTGGGTTAAAAATGTAATGTAAAAATTTAACCCAACGGCTGGGTTAGTCCATATTTGACCCAAAGTTGGGTTAAAACAACCCAGCATTTTTTAGAGTCTATGATCACATTACTACCAGATTCATTCCTCTAAACTTCATCACCTTTTCATTTTTAAAATTCTGCCAGTCACATTTAATTTTGCGAGTCAAGTTTCACTCCTGTGCTGGTTTTCCAACTGAGCCCTGTTTTAAAACATTAATAACCGATCCAACCAAGTTTGCTATCCTCCATTTCTCAGACAATCTTTACTGTTTTCTAACTCCTGTCTAGGAAGGAGTTGTGTCTTTTAACAGTTTTATTAACTCACTCAATATTATGTTTTTTCTCGTACACACTCACTAACTCTTTCCCCACTAGCATTATTTAAAAAAAAAAAGTTGCAAGCCACCTCCAGTGTTTTTGGTTATTTAACAAAAAAATGTCATGGGATATTTTTTGTATGAATATCTCAACATGCAATAAATGCCAACATTTCATCCAGTAACAGATTTATATGCTGTTTAATAAGTTATTTTACATATGCATAATTACAAATGAGATCGTTTGTTTTGATCAGAATATTCAGTACTCTTTCAGAAGCTCTGTCATAGCGCCCTCTACCATACAGTCAAAACACTGAAATACTGTTTTGCGGGGAGGCGTTTTCTCACAAATAAAGGGAAAATATCATGTTTGGTGAGGAAAGAGTTAAGAATTATGTGAATCAGGCTGGGTGCCTTCCTGTGGGTACCTCCAAGGTGCGGCCCAGGTGAAGGCTGGTTTAGCCAAAGGTGCCTTTTTCTGGACCACAAGTGGACATCACCTGACCCAGGGAGAGTGCTGTCACCTTCGTTGGACGGTGGCGGTACGCAACTCTTGCATGAGCCCTGGATCAGCCCTGCCTTTGTGCATGTCTCTGAGCACCCGTGCCTGATAAACTTTCAGGATGGCCATACGATGCAAAGAGGTGGCGGCCTGCCCTGCAATCCAGTGTGGACGAAATCCTACAGGCCTTGGAGGGGTGCTTTGGGTCACCATCCCAGTTAAAGGTGCCCTGGGGACATATTTGCATCACCAAAGGACGCTCCACAGAGGGGTCCCCAGTGTACTCTTTGGCCGTCGCCCAATCGAGGGCAGAGAAGACTAAAGTCAAGGGAGACCACGATCTCATGACTTTCCGGAAAGAAAGGATTTGACCAATCCTCATGATTGAAAAAAAAAACAAAAAAAAAAAACAATCATGAAGCCCAAGTTCTACTCAAGCCCAATGTTTGAGCATGGAAGTAAAAGCACCCGAGAAAGCATGGCAGTCAGTTCTGGATTAGACTCGAGCAATGCTGGTACCCCGAAAGGAGGTCTACATCTCCAGATGACTCAATACCACCTTGTGATGCGGCTATAGACATGACGTCATCTGCTGGGGCGCCGAATGAAACACTGGGCCTACCACAAGACTGGCCAGCGACCTAATCCAACAACCTCACGGGATGCAATGCGCTAGAGGGGGGTGTGGCCCGAGAAGGATTTGTCATGTTGTTCCACACCGTTACCTTCAGATCATCCTGGCCACCAGCCAAAGTAGGGGACCAGCTCACAATGGGGATAGATTGGGATGTGGTGGAGGGGACTCTACTTCTACGGAGGTCATTGAGTTTCGATCACAGCATTGTGATGGTCATGTTCCCGTAATGGGAACATGAGGCATCCACGAATGCTTCCTGAGTGTGATTTAAGCCCAAATATGTCAGGCAGCGCTCGTGCCCATCAGCAGAATCAATCCGTCTACCGCACCCAGTAAT